ACTGTGCAGAGGAGGAGGATTTCCCAGCATGTTGGTTATCGCTCCAGATCTCTTCTCCTCTACACCATCACACAAAACCGGCAAAAACAACTCTCGCACCGCATCACCCTTGGCCATCCTCGCATCTCAGGATGGAGGAAAGTCCATGTGTCCATCTTAGTCTTTCAAAAATGCTTATTCCTCTCTGCAGGGTCAAAAGTCATCTGAGAGATCCACTTCCACACTTGGGATCTCTGGAAATAGCTCCTTCAGAGAAGGGGGGAACACGTGTGAACACATATGTAGACAGTTCAGCACTGCCAGCACCGCTGTGAATTCAGTGACACACAGCGCTCAATGGTGACAGCTCTGTAGGTGTAACCTGCTCATATAATCATAGAATCATAGAATGGTTTGGGTTGGAAGGGACCTTAAAGCTCATCCAGTCCCAACCCCCCTGCCAGCAGCAGGGACACCTTCCACTAGATCAGGTTGCTCAAAGCCTCATCCAACCTGGCCTTCAACACTTCCAGGGAGGGGGCATCCACAACTTCCTTGGGCAACCTGTTCCAGTGTCTGACCACCCTCACAGTGAAGAACGTCTTCCTAATATCTCATCTAAACCTCCCCTCTTTCAGTTTAAACCCATTTCCCCTTGTTTTGTCATGACCAGCACCTAGATGAAAGCTGCTTATACCAATAGGAAATGAAAGTTGGGTAGATTTCAACTGTAGAGTTATTCCACCAAAAAAACAGGGGGACAGCTAGTTTATGCCATTTTTGTCTCCTCTTCCAAAAGATCTGTTCACTCTTTTCTCTCACAAGATATGCATGGGTAATTGCAGGGGGTTTGTTCAGCCCTCTAATTGATAATCTGGATTTGCTTCAAGAATGAAGAAAAACAAAACAGAAGAAGCACCCACTCCCATAATGCTCTTACAATAGTATTAAGGTTCACCATCAACACCAGAGGTGCTCCAGCCCGTGCTGGTGGCCTCCTCTGGACTGGCTCCAGCAGCTCCATGTCTTTCTTGTGTTGAAGGCTCCAGAACTGGAAGCAGTCCAGCTTTCTAAACAGCAATATGATACAGATCATCCTCAGCAATGTTCCAGTTCCAACTGCAGTATCCTGCCTCTTTTCCTTCCAAAGAAAAACAAGTTCACAAAAAAGCGCCAGGGACCACCTTCTCAAAATCACTGCAGCAGGCATTACTGATGGGTGACTCTCCCAGATCCTGGTCATTTTTGATATCACCATAGAGAAGCCAGTAACTGATACGGGTTGCACACAGACTGTAGATCCCAACAGTGATTTTACTGATGCACGCTCAGGAGGACCAAGCAGCCACCATGTCATTAGGGAAGGAGAGGTATCTGAACTCCCTGCAAGAAAGACCTGAAATAGCAGAGAGCCGTGTCTTCTTCCCCAGAGCTTTGCCAGCCCTTGGCGTGCCTTCTCTGCACATCCCTGTGCCACCCAGTGCTGCCCAGCTCCGAGCTGGCAAGGACAGTGGAATGGAGAAACCCTGCAGGGGTGTTTGCTTTAATGCAGATGCAATTATCAGAAAGCAGGCCAAGCTCAGAATAGCCTGTCTAGGGAGGCTCAGAGTCTGTGACAAACAGGAAACATGGAGAAACATTTGCATAACAGGTAAAAGAGAACGGAAAGAAGCGAAGCTTTGCCTGGCACACAAACGCCAGGTCACGTCACAGCGTCCCAGCGACTGAGGCCTGGGGTGCCTCGTACCACGGCAGGTTAGGGACTGTGCAGCATTCCAAAGCCCTGGAGCTGGGGGAAAGAGCTGTGAAAGGCTCTGCAGGGCACATGGAAACACGTTGCTAACTTGGAACTCTGCAGGTGCCAATTAGAGGTCTTAAAAATCTGAGCAGGAGGCAGATTTGACAGGATGCTCCAGCGATTCAGCTAATGACAAAGTGCAACACGGGGGCAATGCCACCCTTAGAGGAATAATGTAAAACTCCAGTTCCCATTCCCCCATCTCTGCTTCACCCTCCTTCTCCCCCAAGGAAATCACCTCTCTCTGGTTTAACCCATCTGGTTGGGACAGTTTTCAAAGGTGACAAGTGCTCTGCTCTCTTGGGTTCCAGCTCCCAGACACATGGGGTGCTAATTCACCTAGGAAGCGAGGAGGGCACATGGACAGTTTGTCTCAGTGATGAAGAAAGCATCCTTTCCTCTTGTATTCATCTGCTCAATAACAACTGGGTCACCCATCACCCATGTGGTGCTGTGAGAACTTGAAAAATGAAGTGGACAGCTGGCTGGTACTACCAGGCTGCATTTTATCTACCAAATCTACACAAAAGCTATGCAACAGTCAATAATAGCAGCATTCCTCAAAGAACACCTACATCCATAAAGCTGGAGGACAGCAGATGACATTCTCCTTGGATGCTTTGAACTTCACTGGCAATCTCTCTTTCTCCATTGACATCAGCAGCTCCTATATTGCTCAAACCACTGGCCTGAGAAGGAAGTTTGGAGCTGCAGAAGTGGCGAGGGGCAAGAAAGCCCTGCAAGCTGGAAACATCTTGTGCTGGTTTTCCTACTCACAGCAAAAAGGGGGCG